AAAGTGATGCTCGAGATGGAGTATTGCGTGCAGAACTGAAAAATGTCGACTCTAAGATTTCTGTGTCTGCGAATCCCCTATTCCTTTTAAAGTGAAGTATGATCGCTTTTGCTGGAAGCTTATTTTTTCCACTCTCTGATAATAAGTTGAAGACAATGTGAAATTGTCGTCATCCCCTGCTGTCGGAATCTTACACCAAATTTATAAGTTTTGGATATCGTATAGTTGAGATCAAGTTAACTAACATTAGATACCTCGTGGTAAGTCCTAAAAATTTCATTTGCTACTTAATATAGTTATTAACAGCAGTTCTTTAAAAATAAAAACAAAAAACAAAAAAAAAGAGCATGCCTACCTACTGAAGAGGATATTCCAATTAGGAGAATAAACGCAGCAAGAATCATTTTGCACTTCGGAAGCTTCGCAAAAATGGAGAAGCTCTAAACGAATTAGATACTTAAACGAAGCTTTTTTCAGCCACCTGTGCAGATTGCGACCAAGACAAAACAAGCTTGTGTACAAAATCCAGTTGTTGATAAACAACCTGGCAGAGTCAAATACGGTTACGACGTTCACGACTAGACAAAACTACATTTTAATTTAACTGCCGACCAAATGTTGACCATCGCTCCATTGAAACTCAAGGTGATAAAACATTGTTCATTTAACCAAAGCACCGCTGTATTTACGGATAATGTTCTTCTTCCTTCCATAAAGAAAATATTGACCATTGCTCCTTTAAAACACGATATGATATGACATTTCTCATCGTAAAATTTTTTTTTCAAATAATAATAGTGTTCGTTTTAACCTGTTCAACAGATGACTAGCTTAAAGGAAACTTGTATTTGAGTTTGTATCGCTCTATTTTTATAAAGTACTGTTCTAGTGGTCCAGAGGCTTCCAGACGGCTAACGATCCTCCCTATTCATCAAAAACCAGAACGTAACTCATTTCTAATATTGGGAAGAAAACTGTTGCACGACTATGTGTGCACTGTGCCGTCTAATAACCAAGTTTCTTTATACACCTGCTGAAATCACACACTCGGTATGTTTTAGACTTGGGTTAGAGAATTGCGTTAAGCAAAAGAATTAAAGGGTTATTACAGATCAGCTTTTTTTCAGCTGTAATAGTGCAAAAGTGTAAATCACATTGAAAAAGTAAATGGTAAATCTTTTACATTAATCAAAGGTATTTTTGAGGCTTCTCCTAAGAGAATTGCTTAGGCTTAAGTTTTGGAAGGTTCTCTGAGGCCCACTTTAGTATGTGGTCTTGATAAAACATCATAGTTGAAGGCAAGATTTGATCTGTTCTCACCATGTCAATCTGCTCGCACAGAAATGATTTGGAGGGATAATTTTCTCAATTACCCTTTATATACTGATTCTCGTAAAATTGAATTTCGTAAAAGCTCATGATAACAATAACTTTCATGGCGGTAATCCAACTTTAAGTCAAGAATCATTAACAATATTACTGGGGTAAAGTTATTGCATTTTGATTGATCGTAGTCTTTGTAATGATTTCGAAACTTGAAGTTGTACTTTTATAGCATCGTACCACTACACTGTCGCATTCACAGACCTCCTTCATCCAGCGTGAGTTCTTCCTATTGAGGCAGTACCATTTCGAGTACCCTCCTGGTAATAAAATACAATGTGACCATTGAATTGAAATGCATAACTGGGACATCGAAATCAATACCAGACGATAATAGAAGGACAGGGCAGATCCAGAATCTAAGGGCCGGTTATTTAAACAAAGTCTAGCCGTTGTTTAACAAAAATATGTTCTAAGCCATCTTCAACTTAGCCGAACCTTTTATCTGAACATTCATTTTTGTGGACAGTCTCAAGAAGTCCGTATGCTGATAGTGGAAGGACATCTGTTTAATTGAATCAACCCTTTTATAAAAAATCCCTTAGGCCCACCGCTTGCGTGAAAGCGCGGTTTGGGTCAGACCTCGTGTAAATAACTGACCCAAAGTATCTACGTCCATGCTATGTGTTATTTAGTTCTTGAATAATGTGTGGACCATTGACGTTTTGAACTCTCATTGAAAATTCTTTGAAAGCTATCGTCAGTAAAGCATATACTTCTCGGGAAATACATATGCTGTTTTTGAGGCTTCAACAAGGTGGTATTCTCGAAATACCAGGGAAGGATTTCGATCTATAATAAATACTTTTGCTTTTCAGCTTTTAGATGGACCTTAAAGAGATAAGCTCGAGGCCCTTGAGTTTTAAGAATGCTGAAAATCGCAGTTATCATCAGGAAGGCGGCCCAGTTGATATTGGGGATGTATCTTATAGTAATTAAAAAGGGAAATCAATAAACAACTCTAAAATAATTCTTCGTTAATAGACGACGACAACAACAGCAAGGGAAATAACAACACTCTTGACTGAACAAAATAAGAATGAAAAGTTAAATGCAATCACGCTTTAGGAATAAACCAAACAAGATTTATGTAAAAATGAACGTTCAAATGCTTTTGTGGTAGTTTATTGACGACATCCACCGCAGCCATCTCTATTGTAAAGAATGTATAACACTGGAAACGGATCGCAAATATTACTCTTCTCTATGGCAATATAACACTGATCATAGATGTAGTAACACCTCAAAAAGCCAAAGGAATTTATAAAAGATCAAACGACTTGTTATACATCTCGAGAACTTCAGTAATGTACGTGGAGTGGCGATCCTTTTACGACATCAACTCAAGACGTTAATTTTACAAGAAATTCTAATTTTCTGAAATTTCAGTTTGTCCTATGTTAGCGAAGTACCCATGATTTGCAATATAGGCTATAAGATGTTTACTCGTCGATCTCGTCAACTGGTGTTCCATAGCCGGGCTTCTTCCAACTTCGCAAAGGATCATGGGGCTAAACTGGAGAAAAATTATTTTATTCCGCGTCCAAGAAACGCCTGTTGATTTTCAAAGTTGTCAATGCAATGAGAATCACATTAAGTCAAAACAACGTTTACGTTTCAAGATTTGGAAAAGTGGGCTTAACATTTGAAGTGAATCTTGACTCTGACTGGGGAAATTGACGAGGATTTAATAAACTAGTTTAAATGTAACGCACTAAAGCGATTAAATTTCTGGTTTGATCATCACTGGTAAACCTCCAAATAAAATCCTTGAGCACTACTGTTATCAGAATGGCATGTATTTAAAAGCGTTTGAGTACTCGGAGAGATTCTATCAAAACTCTTGACAGCTGAATGAAAAAACTCCAACAAGAATCAATATACTCGGAGTCAAGTACACTGTGTGCGAACTGGCTCGGTGAGGAGTTAAAATTCAGCGCGATATGTACTGTATTTGCTGATTTGGTGCCAGAATGAAAAGATCAACCACTCGTACGTTAATGTTGTCATGGCCATGATGAATTATCGTAAAATAACCACTTATTTGTAGACTTGACAGTTCTGTGTACTCAGGTGTTCCTAACTTCAACTAAGATAGTTTATTTTGTTGAGCCAGCTGTATTTGACGCTAAAAGCCCCAAACTGAAAACTTGAATAACTGATAATGAACTCTTCATATTACTTTGCTTTTAACAAAGAGGGGACAATGTTATCGTTGACAGTTAGTAAAGTGTCTTAAGCGTGGTAATGTTAAAATTAAAATTTCGTCTTGAAATATTGAAGAAAACATCTTGGCGAGCTTGAGATAATTATTATCCCATTAACACTTTGATATGGATAATTACATTCATCAGTTTAAAATATTTTTAGGAAAGGACTGGAATCACTATGCACTGTCCGTAAAACATTGTGACATCCTACTAAATTAATATTTGTTTTAAAATAACACGGAAAAAAATGAGCAGTTTTTAATAACTTACTCATGAGCATCATTAAGTCCGATTCTAGAGACTCGAAGCAAGAGATATTTGTGTAAAAAATAATGAAAATGACAGGTTAATGAAAAGACCAAGCAGCAGGTGTATAATTCAATTACTTGTGGTACACGTGTAACTTCTCAAATAGCTCAAGAAATAAGTTGGCAAAGGCGTTTTTCTCTGAAACAACCAGCAGTGCAGAAAATCATATATTAAAAGTAATTTCACATATCGACCGGGCGAATTTCTCATCCGATAAGATTCAGTTTAAAGACCCTTTGTAGTAAAGCAATTTGGTTCGGTTCTCCGAAAAAAAGAAACGCACCGAAGTAGACCGACAAGTCAGAATATTCTGCTGGGGATAATTTCTTGATTTTTGTATGATCATGGTTACTAATTATAACATATTACTTCAAGGGAAAAATTCTGAGTGATATGTTGGCATTAACCTCGACACTACAATATCACTTCTGAATCACGAATCAAGGTAACGAGAAAAAAAGGAAACTTTCCTTTTTTAGTTGTTTAAACTTTCCTTATTTAGTTGGCGATCACTGATCGCCAACTAAAGAAGCTCCTAATTGTTAAACAAACTTTCCGTGTCAACACCCAAGGAAATGTATAGAGAACGCCACGCGAGAATATGCATACTGATGTTAGGGTGTAAAGGATTAAAAAAATTTTCTATAGAAAACTATATAGAATGTGTCGTACTAAGCTGTTGAAACACTTGAGTGCTGTGTTAGCAACTCAACAATCATGAGTCATGGTGAATTTTGGAAAAGGTTCTTCCACAATTAATTCCTTCACGGATCAATCCTCATAAGCAAGCTGCTGCTGAAGCAGTTGCAAGAAGAAGGGGTTTCGGTCACACTCAACAATATCCAGGAGTCAAGTGTTCCTTTCGATCATGTCAACGTGTCCAGTTTTGGATGAATATCGACTCCTCTGATGTTTTGCCTTCATTTCTTTTGGTTCGGATGAAGGGCTAGTGATAAACTAGAGGTTTATCAGTATTCATATATTGATTTTAGTTAGGTGTGGTCTTAAAAATCAGCTGAGCTAGGCTTCTTTTCAGGAAATCAGTCTATTTCTGATACATTGTATTAGTATTAGATAGATTGTTTTTCAGTACAGCTACCACTAAAGTTTATTTCATGTTCCTGAAAATGCTATTCATTTCACTTCATATCTTTTACTATTGTTCAGATGCAGAAAGAGTTTCGGAGCTCGAGGTGATTCCTAACACTTTGATTTATCATAGTTTATGTAACGATCTTGCAGCTTCGAGAAGTGGCTTTTGAAGCAACGGGCCGCAACGCCATCGCATTCGCAGAGCTTCTTCTGACACTTGCTGTTTCCATATCCAAGGAACCACAGGAAATGATATCCTCCTGAATTGGAAAAGTAACATATATTCATTGATAACCTTTAGTATTTGTGAAACGCAGCCAGTATCTGCAAATGGATCTCGAGAGTTTTATTATCCAGCAGTACACTGAACCGGCCTTCCCTTCCACTAACACTCTTATCTCCCCCCCGGCACATCTTGAAAATCAAACGTTGAACCCTGAGGTTGTGATTGATAAGTACACTTACTGCAGCCGCTGCACCCCTGTGTCCGGTATGTCACATAATACACTGCATTAGGATCTGGGCCACATATCTTTGTTCTTTGTATGTCGCCATAACAATTGTCGTGGACATAGCAGCATCTAACGAAGAGATTATGTGAAAAGAACTATTATTATGCATTGTTTTGTAGTTTATGATATCGGTAACGAAGAAAGAGTTGAAAATCAGCTTTAGAAAAATTACAGAACAAAGAAGACAAGCATTAAGATATCTGAGAAAACGTTTACACCTTTCTCGCAGGGTTTTTGTGCATAAAATACTGTTTTCTTGCTGTTTTCGTTTGTTTGATTGCTTGTTTTGATATTTTTTTTCGTTTTTTCTTTACTTTGTTTTATTTTTGTTCACAGTTTCGTATGCTATAAATTTCTTTCACTGGTTAACGTAACATGTGATCAATTGGGCCAATGCCCTATCGGAGATTAACGTCTAAAGTTTTTCTGGGAAATGTGCAAATAAGGTTCCACATCTGTTGATAAACGTCGTCCTTCTTGTGATCATGGTGTAGGGGGGGCTAAAGCCATAGAGAGAACAGATAATCTGTGTTCTTTCGTTAAACGCGTCGATTATAGCCGTTTCTAACAATATATCCTTGGTTCCGTCCATTAAAACTTAGTTCTACATGTGTTTTACAGCTACTTCTGAATTAGAACCTGAAAACGTTACAAGGCTAGAATATTTATAGTTACAGGTCAATGTCGTCGAGAGGTTTCCCTTTCCCTCCTAATCCACAGAAGCACCCGTAGCCGTTAAGGACTGGCGATCTCAGATCTTTAACTTCACAAGCGATCATGGCGCCAAATTGCCCAACATTCCTCTCCTTCCGCGTCACTAAATTATCTGGTTAGAAGAAAAAAGATAAAAACATGCAAGAAACTGAACATTTTCCATCTCTTGCGGCGATGATTTTACTTGTGTTTGCATTTGCACTGGGGTGGTATGCACGTGTATTTCTTTAAGTTTGCACCGGATGAAGGCATAGGCCCTCTATTGCCAGTGTACCTTCCTCGCGACCTTTGGAGAGAGGTAGCTCGGGAGCAAAGACGAGACTATCGAACAGAAGGGAATTACACCAATCGAGTCTACAAATTTTTATTTTCAAGCTTCAAGGTAAGAGTTAGGGTTAGTGCTATTCGTTACACTGTCTACGAATTTCTTATACCATTTGTTGAACATACCTTGTTCATCGCTAGTGGAGTCCTTTTCTTCGATATAATTGTGTAATTTCTTTGAAAAAAAATGGACATAAAATGCCACGTTGAAACATGGTTTAGTTGTTATCAAGAAAATCCTGAAGTATTTAATTAAATGATAAGTCAGACGATACCTTTCCCATTGGAGGGGAGGATTCTCCACCTTTAGGGGTTATTGCCAGAGCAATCAATAACCAAACGCACATCTTCATGATGCAATGTATTGAAAATTGAATCTTCACAGAGTACCAGTGAACTTATCACTTGTGCGTGAAGTAGATTAGATTGAACAACACTGAACCAAGCTGTTCTTAATTGTATAGCTTTTGTTTAAGTAAGTCACTCAATCACATTTGTGCATATTAATTAACACGTATGTTTGCTTCTGTCAGTGTCAATGGAATATTCCCTTAATCAAAGCCAAACAAGGATTACCATGGATAATGTTCTGATTTCTGCTCATTCACGGATAACACTTGCAATAACAACAGCATAAACAACGATAAGGACAATAAAAATAACAGCACCAACACCAACATCTTTCATTCGTGTGCAATTTTAGTAAATCCAAAGGTTATATAATGGGGTAGTGTTTCTCCCAAACAAGAGCATAAGCACAAGCATTGGTGATCAAAAAATACAGTATTGGTTATTGAACCTAAGAATTTAAAAATTATTTGAACCCATGAAAAAATTGCCACAGTTTAAGAAACTGCTACTTCTTGATGACATGTATTCATGTTATAAGATAATTATGACAAATGGCAAATCAACACGAAATGAACAAACGCACCTGTTGTCAGAATTAGCTCACCTGATATAGGAAATAGAAACTAATCCGCTATTGTTGCCAACAACGCAAAACTGACAAAGAGAAAGCACTTTCTCGTCAATCGAACTGAGCTACTTGAACTGTTAATTCATTGAAACAAAGGGTTCAATGAGGGAAAGGTAAAAGTCCACCAATCAATACCCTATGGTACTGCAATTATTATTCGACATAAAACCAACAGATTTCAGTGTATGCCGTTTTTGCTTCAAAAACATTCATCTGCTCTTACCCTAGCTCTAAATTATATCTTGTTTTGATTTCATAGTTTGACCCTTTGCATCAGTTGTTATGAGTGTGCTGCAAGGAATAATTGACACAGGAGAGAATATTTTCCAGAATCCGAGAAACGACATTCGTATGAAGTTAGGCACTGATGACGATTTTAGACACTGTGGTCCACAATTAGACAATAGTGTTTAATGTTGGAGGCTGTTATACGATTAATCGAAATAAGTATCCGATTTTGGACACCATTTATCGATTTTCAGGACAATATAGTCCGATTTTGGACACTACTGTTCGATCTTAGACACTATTGTCCGAATTTGGACACTGATGGCTGATTTTACGGACACTTGCGTTGGATTTTAGCAACTAGTTTCCAATTTTGGACTTTATAGTCTAATTTTAGACAATGATGTCCTTGGAAATTTTTTTTCTAATTTGATTCCTCAGCAGGTAAGATGCGGGGAAGCAAAACCTTCATTCCATCCATCTTGACAAAAAAATTGCCATAGAACCATTTTATCGGCCTTCCTTAGACTCAAGTGAAAGATAACCTAGAAAATGACAATGATATGATTTATACAAGCTACGAACGAAAAATTGGTTATATTTTGCAAGGGGCTGTAGCATGTTCTTTACATTAACACGATATTCTGTTATGTACAAATAATTCAACAATGTGTGATTTAAAAAAAAATAATCATAGGAGTAGTATCATTTAGGTCTGAAATTGCAGACGCAGTCAACAAATTCATCCTTCTGCAGTTTTTAAAAACGCATTAACAATGAACTGAACTTTGGGAAGACCTCTCCTGAGAGTCATTATTTTCTTTGGATAATAATTCCTCGGTCTTTGCTGAATTGTTATTAGGTAATTTTGCTTCGTATATCCTCTCGGGTCCTCCAATGGTTAAAGCGGCCAGCGGAAGATTGCGAATGGTGGATGCTGTTCCTTTACGAGTGCATTCACGAAGGCAAGTCCGGATGGCCTTCTTGAAATCTGGTTTCAGAAACGCGTACATAAGTGGATTTACCAATGAACTGGTTGCTATGGTGAAAAAGGAAATAATGGACAGTGCATATGGGATGATGTTAGGTCTATTAAAGATGATGTCTGCAGTTGTTATGTAGACGATTGGTAGCCAGCAGAGTAGAAAAGCTGAAGCAACTATGGAGAAAACTTTGGCTACTTTGGCTTCAGAATGCAATCGTTTTCGTTCGTTCTTGTGCACTCTAAGAGAATCCAAATTCTTTTTCATTGTCAGGCTTCTGCGAACTTGCTTAAACATTCGTACGTAGGCAAACGTAATGAAGATGTAAGGCAGGATGATGCCGAAAAACATCATGCAGACCATATATGCCCTATGTATTATTCGAGTTGAATCAGTTTCCCAAAACAGAGGGAGTAAGGAGTAAATTGCTGGAAGCACCCACGAAAGTGCGAGACCTATTTTGAGTTTCTTAGGCGCCCGATATGAGTATTCCAGTGGTTTCATTATGGCAACATATCGATCATAGGTCACAGTGCATAGATTTGCAACACCAGAGAGCAATATCATACACACTAAATAACCTGTTACAGTCGAAGAAGGCTTGATGAGGTAGACAGGCAGCAAAACTCCTCCTGTTAAAATGTCCGACACGGCGAGTGACACCATTAGCCAATTGGTGTTGGTTCGAAGATCTTTCTTGAAATAAACCAAGAGGCAAACGCAAAGGTTCGATAAAACGATGAGAATTGAAAGAATGCTCAGAGATACTACCACAAAATCCGCGTTGTGATCAGTTTCAGCCATTTTTCGGCAGAGCACGTTTTGATGCAGCGCTGACTTCTATAATTGTCTTCCTTTTGTGTTTTCCTAATAAACGTATTCAACTCTGTGGGCAGCTTGTTTTGGTGCGATAAAATTGCCGAAGAGTTGACTATGGTAGTACTTTGTTGTCATTGATCACCAGTACCAAGGTTATTCCCGACTTTGTGGTTGTCTCTCGTAGGTGTTCAAGCGATGAATCTATTCTACAATCCACAATCTTGAAAATCTTTGATATGTTCCTAATCCCGTGCTGAGCGTAGTAGCGCAATGATTTCAATGTTGTTGGTTTTCCTTCCTTTATGAATAAATTGTAACGTCCCACGAGAGCTCATTAAAAAGCAATAAAGGCTTCCGAGTGTACAATTGGAATCCACCACAACTCTTTACAAGATCCTGGATGCATTCAGTTTGCCTGATTAAAGTACTATTTCTTACTTTCATTTGCACTGGTTACTTTTACGGATATTTTTGCGGTGTTGATACTCCTATCACGTTTTGTGCAACCTCTCGATCCTGAAAACCAATTATTGAGAAATCTACAACAAACATTGAGATCGGAAATGAATCTTAATTGCCCTTTGAAAAAGAAAACTAACCAACCACTTCAGTGGTGCTACTCAGTCGCATAAACATGAGACAATATTTATTTTCTTGTTCAACGCTTTGAAATGCACTAAAGAGCAATTAAGATTCGTTAATGACATACAAAGCTTTCTTCAGTATGAAGAGACTAGCCATAGAGCAAGTACATTATATTCATTAAAATACACTTAAGTACAGTCTTGTTTTGCATACGAAGAGAGCTAATGGGCATACTTAGGCGAAAACCAAGATAAACGTTTGGTAATGTTTTCCTCGTTTATGCAAAACACCATCATGAGTCACAGGAACGAAGGGAAGTCGAAAGCCTGTTGTGTTTCCGCATCAATATTGCCCACTTTCCACTGGAAAACCACCTTGATTTCTATTGGTATACCTTATTACAAATATACACTTTACAGCAGCTGAACCACGCAGGAGTGTAATTTGTAATTAGAGGAAGCGAATTGTAGGCGAAATTAAAATCAGTTCTGTGAAAAATGAAAGATGTTGAAGAGTTTAAGGGCTAAGATTCCACAAAATTCTGCGTGAAAATCAATGGCCCGCTCAGGTGAAAGAGGCGATAATGTAACGATGTTTATTAAAACAATCGTGTCTGCAGGATGATCATTTCTCATGCTAAAGGTCATGTTCACCTCCTCACTTGATCAAACAGATAAAGAACTGATTTTCACTATAAAAAGAAAAATGATTTAAAGGTTGCAAAGAAGACTCCTTTTTTCTCAAAAATGTTTCTGTTGCCTGGCGGCTTTCTTTACGCTCCTAAAGATAATTGTAGCTGTGTGTTGTTGAACTCATGCCGCAAATTGCGAATAACATTTGCGACAATCATTTAATTTTGAATTTTCAGTATCTCTTAAATTAGCTTTCTCTTAAAAAGCGAAAGCCACTTCATTATTAGCGAATAATTTGTGAGTGATCGTCTCAGATCTTAGAATGTCTTGTCTTAATTTATCACATTCGCAAACGGGTATGATCAAATTCTTGGCCAATAAAAATTCAAGTTGATAATTAGAATATGCCTAATTTTTTGTTGGCTAACTAGATCGTTATTTTACTGCGTCGGTCTCTGGAAATGTTTCTTAAGTAGTATGGCTAGTTTTTAAAATTTGGAAACTTACATCTCTGCGGAATTACCTATTTTCTTTCATCCTCTGTTCAAGTGTTTACCATAGCCAAGAAAAGATTGATTGTTGTGCAGATGGTGGACGATTTTTTTCCTCTTAAGATGAAAATTTACAAAATAAACGAAATGTGTTCATAGGTAGGCCACAGAATATCTAAGCGAACAAAACATGTGCAGCAACTTAGCATATCGCTCTACCTTCTCTTCGGCTTTACCCAATTCGGTACAGGTAATTTGATGTGCTGTAAACGTGCCAAGAAGAACGTTTCATAGTGATAAAAAAAAGCTAGACGTGGTTGTTGTAACGAGTTGTCAAGAACCCTCGTTTTCAAACACGAGCCGAAATGATTGATATAGTCGTTTCTTATCTTGTCGATGAATCGGTCAATCGATCAATCCATCAATTTATAGACCTTCAATTGCTAGCTTTGAGGGTTAAATACACACTTGAAGAAATCAAGTTGGTTTAATATAACAATTCAGTCTTAGATATATTTTTAACTATTACTGAATAATAAACAGATGCATCAAACGAAGCTCAGTTAACGGTTATCTTAGATGTAAGAATAAAGTTTAAATTGGATTGTTTTTCATTGCAATTGTTATTTCACTGTAAATAATCATTGCCACCATTTTCCGATATCTGTCTCTCTATAAAATACACTGTGATGTTACTGATTTAATTTTTTCTTCTTATGTGTATTTCTCGGTAGCTATCCATCTTTGGTTTACTATTCTTACCGGTTTCATGCGCATATTTTGAATCTCGTTGTTTTATCTATCTAACCTTTGCTCCCCCTCCCACCATAGTTACATCAAGCGACGCACGGGGCAAGAATTCCTTAAACCGATTATGACAACAAGAACAAACGGAATTTTTATCCGGCATGTTTTACTTTTTTATAGGGGTTGGGGTGTTAAAAGATAAGGCTAACATTTCCGTATCTCAAGTCATCATATGGCGAGTAAGCACCACATTAAATCTATTGAACGGATTTCAGCCACTTCGATGATCCATATCGATGTTAATTAAATATCTGCCACTTGTTGATACCAGTTTTCTCGTAAGCATAAAGATAATCATAAAAGTGGAACAGTGTCACATGCTATGTCGTGCTCCTTTTCACGTTTCTCCAAAAAATTGTTAAGTACCATTATATGCAACATCTGGTTGTCAGACAAAACTCACGAATCATGCATCCGCCGAGTTCTGTGAAACTAATTTTTCCAACATAAGTTACATAACTATTGATTTAATGAAAGTGAAAAAATATTCATGGATTAAGTCATTAAGTGGTGATAGGACTAATTGTTCATGCCCGCGGCGGTCTTGTAACGGGCTGTTTGATTAGTAGTATTTACTAAGTATTTTGGCTGGTTTGGAATCAATTAGTGACAGCGAAACTAGAAAATAACAAATTCTTTTCACACACATACTAGAGTTATCTTAAGGCGGCGTTTGGTTCTGTTTGATGAATTCCAAGCGTTATATTCACAGTTCTCATAGGTCGGTTTCTTTGCCATGTTTTTCATTTTTAAGGTTTTTTACTATCACAGCAACATCAATAACACATGTTGAATCCTGTTTCAGAGTTGACGAAGGAGTTCGGTTAGGAAATCTTTTTTTGATAATGCCCCGGAAGTCGGGTTTGAAGAAAGAGTAGACTATTGGATTGACCGCAGAGCCCAGTGCGACAGTAAATAAAGAGAAATCCAAGAGCCACACCGGCGATAACATTTCCACAGTGTTTCTGTCAGTGATTGCAGATATAACGCTGGTCAAGTATAAAACTGGCGTCCAACTTAAGAGGAAGGAAATAGATATCAGTGCAAACATCTTGGCAACTTTTGTCTCTGAAGCCATCGTGCTGTTAGAGTTTTTCTTCAGTTTATCTTTCTTGTCCCGTTTGCCTCGCCAGCTGCCGAGACTGCTATCTCGTCGTAACCGCTTGACAATATGCCTAGCTTGCTGAAAGATCTGGTAGTAGGCTATACACACAAATAAATACGGCACAACAACGCCCATACCTTGTAGCATAAACATGTAGATTGCTTGAGCTAGTATACTGTCTTTTGACCCCCAAATGAGAGGAATGATTGACACAAACAAAGGAACAATCCAAGAACCTACAATGAATTTGAAGAAATATCTCCTCATGACGGCATAGTAATTAAAAGGTTTTTTTATAGCCAGGTATCTGTCTAAAGTCACTAAAAACACATTGGCGACCCCCGTAAGCAAAATAGCGCATACGATGTATCCTGTGACAGGGTGCGTTGGCAAAGCAATGTACAAAGGCAAAAGGAGGGCACCTGTGAGTATGTCTGACACTGCAAGGGACACAACGAATCCATTGGTGTAAGTCCTTAGCTTGGGATGTAAATACACCAAGAGGCACACATAGCTGTTAGTAACTACGATCAGCAATGACAGGCAGCCCAACGGGATGGCAATCTCACTTGGCTGCATTAGCGATAGACGTTTCAACTATTGCAAAATTAAAATTCAGTTTATGACTTCAAGCGCTGTCTCCTTTTGATTGTTGGTTGAATGACGCGGCGAAAATTGATCCTGTTCTGTTATTGACCCAGATGTCTGGTTGTAATGTGCAAAACTGTGAGACTTCGCGGGATTTACCTATCGTACCAAATCCACTGTTCAAGGGCTTGGGACGGAACGGTATTCAATGACAAGTCAGTTGACAAATTGGATATTCTATCTGTCTCTTTTTGACCGGTAGGTTCGCGTGACATAAAAATTTTATCATTGTGCCCAGAGGCAGTAAATAGCGTGATCAACAAACCGCAAAACACTTTGCCCCTTCAGGTGTCCTTGCTCAGTAACTGAGTGCCACAAACTTATAAGTGCCATTTGTTGTAAAGCCGAGCCAAAACAACTTACATCTCAGCCATGGAGCGATGATTGGATTGCTCGGATATTACTACTTAGATCAAATGTTTGTATACATAAACCTCTTTCATTGTACTTTTACGAAATTAAGTGGACGTCCGGTCAACACTTCCTGTAAAGATGTAAAAGGGTTTTCATCAGTAAAGAGAACATTCTGTTCGTTAGCGTTAATGGTATGCAATACTTAAGGCTGTTATTTAACCATTTTGCTAAAGTACTGCTTGAGGAACGTTGACAACAATGAATTTAACTCAAGGGAAAACAGGTGACTACTGTAAGATAGCTGAATGAAGGAAGCACGATAGAGAACCTTCTAAATAACACCTTATAACACGATTAGCTTTTTTCATGTGTATGAAACAGCTTTAATTAACAAATTATTCTGGTTGCTTTCGCCCAACAGAGGGGTCCAATTTTGGAATGGTACCATCCAGTATAGGGCACAAGTTCAGGATATATACAATTTCATGACTCTGATGAAAAATATATTCCTACTTCTAGTCTTTGATGATTGGCAGACCATAGCTGCTGATTTCCATGATCCAGCACGGAAGCTGTAATTCTTTTGTAATCGCTGCTAATTGCCACGAATCGAAAAAATTATAGTACATGTTTCCTTAATGACGCAGTTGAAAATATTAGAAAAAAGATATGTGTAATGAGGTTAAGATGTTTTGAAGAATTCTAAATATTTATGCCAAATCGGCCCGAGGAATGAAATGATCCTCTCCCAGGTTAGCTTATGTGGGTCTAGGGAATAATTGGCTTTCCTTATGATAATGACTATCTAATAAGTATTAGGTTTCAAATGCACGCATAAATACCGCACGTGTGTACGAAGGAAAACCAAATGAAAAATACATCTGAGCTTGCTAAACAGTGGCACTAAACGGTTAGTTGCGGAAATCAAATCCTTTATTTCTATTTGATTCGTGAAACTAGTTTACTCAAAGTATCATGCGGCTCATTCGATGTAATATAATAGCGATAAAATGTTCATGACATTTTCAAGACAACGGACTGTTTTGACTTGTTTTTTTTTCCTTTTTCCGACTCAATTGTTTGACAATTGTAAATCGATGGCACAAGAAAGAAATGCAAGAGAGAAAATAAAAGGAGAAACCTGAGAAGTCAAGTGAAGGCAATCTCGAATTTTTTCCTGCTCCGATATCTTTATCTAAAAGTCCTTGAAAAAAATGTGTGATTGCTATGTTTGATGCGGGAGGTTTGATAAAAAAAAGAAATGCTGTGAAGTCGTTCACGCGTGGGAAGAAGGTAACTAAGTTTGTTAATAGTGAATGGTGGAGAGCGCCCTGATTCCACTCAAACCCTCATCCCTCACCACACGATCTTTGTCCAGTGTCCTTTTAACTTTCATCGAAAAAGATGAATACACTGCGCCTTTTGTCTGTCATTAAGTGTTTATGAGCTATATAATGTTAATGAGTTATTTACTCCCACCCAAGTTAAAAAAGTAACTGATAGATAGCGATAGAATAAAGGGTAATCCTTTTATCACTGTGGAAGTTGCAAAGATTTAATGAGATTTAATCACATACTTGTTTAGAAGGTAAAAATTGTACCTGTTTATTTCCAGGAGATGAATCATTTGTGTATACCCCCTATGTATACTGCTTGAGGAGGGAAACATTCAGTCTCAGATATTCTATAACAGGGGTTTGGTTTATAGCATGAAAATCCTGCATAACAAGATATTCCGTTTTTCAAAGCTTGAATGAGAACTGTTTAAGAAATGAAGATTTTGCGCCAGAGTGGTTCCACCAAGATTAAAAGATTACATGGGTCGTGCACCTTGCTTTGTCTTCAATCATTGAACACTGATTTTTTTCACGAGAAACTGGCAAAAAGAATTTTTCAAGCTCTTTGTGACTCACTACTTTTCCTGTTTGGACAAAAAATTCGATCGCAGCAAAAAAAGCACAATAAATAGCGGACTGAAATTTTCGAAAGAGGAACGTGCTCTGACAGCTTGAAAGCTCCAAAGGTAATAAGGTAATGTCAGCTAAGCCACTCAAACACACCGAAAAAAGATAACAGATTGAATATTTTCACAAAGTATAAAGTGGACGATGTGATTTAAGGCACGGGTGCGCTATCCTCACAAGTGACGCGCCATTGTTTTCAAAGAGGATTGAGCCACTTGACTAATGCATGTTAAGCACGACGAGTATTGACAATGGCGTCTTCTCATATTAGCATTTGTTGCGCATTAGTAGTTAAAGATTCAAGTTACTCGTTAGAAAATAGACAAAAAAAATTGCTCCCTGATAATTATCTGCTCACTGTTTGACAACAGTGAAACTTTGCAACTTTTGGGTGTATCTAGTAGTCAACTTAATTGTTGCAAGACCGACCTGCCTACAAACACCCCCCCCCCCCCCCTCGAGGCCATCGAACTAGTCTGATAATTATCTGTAGTTAGGAGTAAACTCCACAGTTGTAAGAGCTACAAGCTTGCAGAACTCCCCTCAGCATCACTAAACAGGCAGATAGTATGTAAACATCTCCATGACGACCTCTTTCGATTCCAAACGATTCATATATCTATTATCGAAGCAAAGTCTTTGTTCCATTTTAATTTGTCTTTTAAAGGCACCAAAAAAACATAACCAACCTTCTAATGGCTCCAGAGTTGAAGTAAACTTTAGAGCTTGATTTTAACGGCTCTATGGCAGCTCCTTAATCCTTCCACTACAATCAGTGAATCGTTTGTATTGATTGACTGTCAAGCAGGTACGTAATGAGAGACAAGGAAAGTATCAAATTGGGAATGTTTATTCCCATGTTATAAAATTCTCCCTAGCAGGCAACAAAGAAACGAATGGATACCAGCTGGGGGAGTTAAAGTGTAAATCCTGGTACGAGGAGACATGACCGGTTAACTAAGATGTTTGACTTTCTTGCACTTCAAAGGCGCCGTCGCAGAAAACGCTAGAGAAATGAATATCACAGTATCAACAACAGGTCTGATAAACCGAAGTAGAACAAAGCGTTACAGTGAGGAGTAATAACTGCGATACAATTGCAGTTGAAAACCGAAAATTTGATCGATAGGAATTTAATGAGCAAAAAAAACAAAGCTTCAAACTAAATGACATTAGCAGAACGTGTTATTATCGATAATGACAAACATCGGTGCTTTTATATTTTTATTAATTCCTGAAAGCTTGGATTGGGAGGAACATATGCATAAAACTGGTCGAAGAGTGCAGAAAAAAAAAGGGAAAGAAATAATGACTATTGTTTAACAGTCGCAAAATTAGGAAAAAAGAAAGATGGTTTTAAAACTTGACATGTATATTTAGCACCAAAGCTGATTCATTACAAGCCAATTTTATTTGCTTCTCACACGTCCATGAGTCAACAAAAAACGGAAATTAATTTGAAAGTATGAAAATAAGTATTTTCTAATCTATCAAAGTTCTTAATTCCAGATGGCTTGAACCCCTGTAGAAGGATAAGCTCGGAACGATTCTTGCCACGGCATTTTAAAAAAGTAGGTGTCTTTTATCCAAAATCGTATAACTTCAGCATTGGGTAGTTAGTTAAGACTTGAGTTACTTTTCCTTCGCATTTTTAAAGATTGCTGCTAAAAATTGAAGGTGCGTGTATGGTACCAAAACGATTCTGAAAAGTCCAGCCGTATGCATTTTTTCTCAGTTTCGTGAGTAAACAAAAGAAAAAAGAGCGATATTGATTCAAAATTCTTCAGGGAAAGAGACTGTTTCTTGGGATCTGTAAATTCCAAACACTCGCTTAGGTGGAGGGTATATCCTATTTTCCACTAACTAATTTTGTGGCGTAACGGTGATGAACGTATTAATATAAACTGAGGCACCAAGCGTAGAAATACTAGCTAATTAAATCAACTGCTTCGTCTGTAGTTTGTCACAGTATATCTGTAACATTTCAAGGTCGCCTTTTGGACATCGTTTCAAACCTTATTATTTCCCCCTCTATGTTTTCAAGTTATACCTCAGTAAACTGAACCAAATAAATACTCTGTGGTCACTTTCGGTTGGACAAAAAAAATTGGTGGAAAAGGAAGGTTAAATAATGTCGCACCTGTTTCTAGTCACGACGGATTGTCGATATTTTGCAAATGCGCGGAAAAAGTAAACTTTCTCTAGGGTCTACCGCTTAAACTGCTATTTAGGGCTGTATCCTCTAGACAAAGCTAATATAGAGGAACTTAAAAATTTGTTTGTGCAAAATGAAAATAATCTAAGTCCTCAATGATGATCTTAACCTCAAACCTCCCGACTACGTGTCGGATGTTCATCTACTGTTAAGCGAATGAGTCAGTATAAAAATGCTCATGGAATTCAAACGGATCATGCCGACGTTCTTTCCAGATGGCTGGGCCGCGAGTTACGACGTTGGAACGGCTGTAACTCAGATGGTGATCAGCTTCAATAACTTTTGTTTCTCGGCATATTTTTTTATTCTTCTTCTTTTCAGATTCAAATCAAAATGAAGTGGTTGCTTTGCCTGGCTATTCTTCTTTGCTTGACTTCATTTTCTGATGCATGTGAAAAAGAACTGGTAAAAAACTGCACAAAATCTTATGTGACCCTGTTGGACAAGAAACCAGACGAAGGCTCTCACTGTACGCGCTTAAAGGTAACTTAATAGATGAGTAGGTTTTAAAAATACAGGAATTTACAAAACGTTGCAAATGAGTCGTCTGACTTTAATTCTGTTCACGGAAAATTGCGAAAAAACATTTTTCATGTAAGTTGTCCTTAGAGGTTTATACCTGTCACCAGATGTATAAATATTGTCATAAATGCACTTTCATCGCATTGGTTTTGATGAATTAAACTGAACTAAGAAAGAAAATGTAGATAAAAACTTCTTTCCCAAAACAGGGAAGTAGAACTCGCGTCTTTTTAATAATTTGGCTGTTCACAGATTCATACCATAAGAGTTTATCACGGAAGATATCGTATCCTCATGCTAGCTTGATAATAATAGATTCACTGATAAAATCCCATGGACCTTGTAAAATATAATACTTGCAAATACAGACTTCACGAAATTGTAGCTTTCAAAAGCTGAAGAAACTCATCCACATTACGGATGTTATTATAGTTATACCATTTTACTACTGCAGGAGGTATTTGACTGCTTTTGGTCAAACAGAGACTGCAAGGGTCAAAACATAAGACGGTGGAGAGGGTGGGTATTAATGGTTGCAACTTTGGAGACGTTTCTTGACATATGCCCAAGGGACGATCAGCAGCTGCAAAAGTTCTACGAATACCTTCCAGATGACTGTAAGAACATATATATAATGTTGACTGTGGTTCGAAAAAAAGAGTCGTAGTCTATTCTCCTCTTTTTACTTACCCACTTTGCTACATTCCACATCGTGACTAATAATTCGAAGGAGGGTTTAACAATATCTCGTGCAGTTTTTCTTTTATCTTTCACGATCGATATGGCCTACGTTTTATAACGCCGATTAATGATCTTCCTTATCCCCGTGTGGTTTTTTTTGCTTATTTACTCTTCTCACAAATCATTTCCATTTCCCTTTTCTTACCCTAAACATGTAGCCAAACCAAGACGCATCTATGAGCGGTTAAAGGCGAAACGTAAGTGGCTAATAGGAATTAGAAAAACATTGTAGGAAAGTCTGAATAATATCTACAACTGAATTTTTCTTAAGAAGTGAAACTCATCTTAAAAATGTAGCTCTACCTCTCTATAGTAGAAGGTTTGAGCTCGTGCCCCTTCTGCTCATCTAGAGTTCAATGACAAGGTGACGGTTTTAAGATAGTTTACCTTTAACTCCCACGAGTGACCAAGAGAGATTTTCTCCATATGATATCGTTACAACTCAAGCAGAGTAGTGATAGGAATAAAGAGAAATATCAATTAGGGGATTGTTAGTTCTCCCATACCAAATTCACTACGCTCACATCACAAGAATAGTATGGCAGACAGTAAGGAAAATTTCTAATTAGATTAAGCCTTTGATACATGCTCATTTTCACAAATATTACCTTCATAGCTATATCTGCTAAGGACAAGCAGTGCGCAACCCAAATCCACAACTCGTGCAAGAAGCAGTTCGTTGAGCTGGTCCGAAAAAATCATCGCATTTGTGATGATGGTGGCTACTGGCTAAAATGCTATGGGGAAAGCGGTTGTGACAAGGAGTCGGCGATTGTCCGCTACGCAAAGTTTGTTGCAGAGTTGGCACCAAAACTAGTCAGTGACTGTAAGCGGTCTGAGCTGTGAAACCATTTGGGATCAAAAAATTAGTATAACCAGTTGCAAATTAGTATTCATGTTCCCTTATGCAGATTAAAAGTGAAAACTTCATTGTGGATAGTATTTTTTATCGTTATTTATGTCTACTAAACATTGAGTTAAGTCAATTTGAAACCTACCACTCATGTAATATCCTTAGGACTTCTCCTCCGAAAGCCGTCTATTACGACGTCTGCTAAGGTCATTGTGTATGACCCTTTTCAGTCGGCAGTTAAAATAAGGTTGTTTTAAAAGCACATAGTCCCGGCTAGGTTGTTCATCACAGTCGTTAGCTTTTATCGTTAATCGGAAGAAAACCCTAGTGAATGATACAAGAAACGACTGGAGTTTCTATCGAGGAAAACCTTAAACACATTAGGAGTTTTCACCAACACATTATTGATTTCCTCGGTATCTACGACTTAGTTTTCGAATTGAGCTCAGCTCATTTGCACTCAAGTTGTTCCTGCTGGTAAACTTACCGTTCAAAAAGGACAATTGAAAAGCACTGTGAAAAAACCCAACAACAACTCGACTTGGAGTTACCTTTAAGTTAACTGTTGTGTAGAGACGGAGGGAGGGAGTTAAATGATGAGACGTGTTATCAGTGATTGGCTTCTTGCAGTATATAACTGAATTAAATCAGATCTATTTATGAAGAAAACTAAGAGTTCGCAGTATTAATAAAAACGGGCACCTGTATGGCGCTTGTTTTTATGCCAGAACTCTCGCAGACCTCCCGCTGACACGCACTCCTTGCCGACTGGAGACACAAGAGTTTCGTCACACGTGTGGCGGTGCAAATGAGAGCATGCTCGCACGGTAGAATCAACGAAGCCGAAAGTTTGCTAAGTACGTGGGAGGAACCTGGCCTGAACTGTATACAACAGGTGCTATGCACTTGTCCTCCATGATATAGATCTTAGCTTACTTTGTTCATAAATGTTTGGGAAACAAGATTGTTTTAAATGAACGGTTCAGGGAAAAATTTCAAAAGCCCAACCAAAAGTTTTTATTCAGGCATTTCTCTGCCTTTGGCTAATTAGAAACTTCAAAGGTGACGGCGGAGAGGACGAGGACTATGATAGTTACAACATTGGAAAAGTTTCTTGATTTGTGTCCTGTAAGAACAAAACAGAACAAAGCAAAACTGATACAACTACTATCCTGCAGATTATAAGAGGACCTTACTTTTTTTGGATAATCTGGCGATTATGATCCACCAAATGATGGTTATATTTCCTCCGTCGTCCTCAAAAATGTTGCACGGCCTAGAAGCGCCAATGAGTACTTGAATACCAAGCGTACGTGGTTAGTAACTAATGAAGTTGCTAATTCACTCCTATCGTCAATAATTTGTTTGCCTATATTGTATCCCGGAACACTGGCCTTAGTTTTGATGTAAAGCTCGAGGACAGATAACTTGCAGAGAAGGCGTAATTTTGGCGGGCGAGTGCTCAGTTATCTTGATGAAATTATAGCTGTCACCTTTGATTTTTTTTGCAGTAGCGGAAGGCTGGAAAGTGAACGAAATTTGTACCGAGGAGTTGAGAGAGAAGGGAGGGGGTGGGGCAGTGAATATTCCTTCAGTCTTTCCCCGCCCCCTCCCCCCACCGTTGACTCCAAATCAAACGTGGCCGGTTGAATAAACGATCGCAAGTGTCTTAACGGTTGACTCGCCCAAATAAAACGTCTGCATTGCAGGCTAGAGTACAGAACGAAAGTATCGCCACAATATTCAATCTGAAAAAACACAACTGCAGTTTGCGACTTCAAAGGCGAGAATAAGTTTATCATGGACAGTTTTATTCTACTACGGTCATTGTGAATCTTTACACAACCATTCTGTTTGGGTGTGTAAAGATTCACAATGGGATACCTAATACATAAGAGGACGAGTCATCAGCGAACCTTTGCAAAACCAGAAGTAGCTCGTGAATTATACTTTTTTTTGTAGGTTACTTGACTACACACGAGCAGGCTGAATATGCATGATTATCATATGCCCAACCCGTTACCGTGGACTTCAGTTACTTGAGTCCATCTTAATTAACTATATCGTGTTGTAGTACTGCCAATTCCACTCACATCGTTTTTCTTATCAATTCACATACATTGCCTTGGCACTACGAATATTGCTTATCGCCGTCTGTGATCCATGTTCATTCACTGATATGTTTTCCTTCGATACATTTCACGAGGAAAAGCCGTGCACAGCACAAATTTACGGAAAAGCCATCGTATCCGGGACGATGGCAGCTACTGGCTGGAATGCTATAAGGGAAGCACTTGTGACGAGTGGTTGGTTATCGTCCCCTTCGCTAATTTTGTTGCAGAATTAGCACCAGAACTGGCGAGCGACTGTAAACGGTCTGAGCTGTGAAACAGTTCGAGTTGAACCGTTTCCGAAAAAAAAAACTTGCGAGCAGTTGCAAATGAGTACTCTCGTTCTCTAATGCATAATAAAAAGAGTGAAAACTTCATCGTATTTTTTTCTCCGTTGTATAATTCGGTCACAATTTGCTTTTATTCCCCCGCCAAAAATAAATTCAAACAACGGGGTGTACGAGTCGTTCATGAAAATGAATGCGATAAATTTAAATCGGCAATACCGGTTAGTCATCAATACCAAGTTTCAGTTATTCGATTTCAAAATTAAGGTTTGTATGTTTCTTTTACAAATGAAACGAGGCTTCCATTTCCTTTCAGATCATAAGGTAAGCTTGTTATCACCTTCTTCAAACCGTCATCATTGTAAATATTATTTGTGTTTTTCTGGGGGCGTTTCAAGTCCGGTTCGTGTTAAACCGATTGTAGTGAATTGAAACGAATCAAGCGAGATTGGAAGAAGTTACTTCGCAGATTTCTTATTTTTTATTTCACCTGTGAATTATAAGTTGTCAAACTTAGAGTGTTTTAGTATCTTTTTTTCTGTTTTTGTCTTATCTTTCTGACGGACCAATTTCCGTGAAACACTTTAGCCGCTATTTGTACATCATCATTTTCAAATCAAGACGATGAATACGGAATCTATGTCATCGATGTTTTAATTTGAAATCTAAGTTCATCCGTTAATGCTTTATTGATTGGGGATGATATTCAATAATACACGTACGTCGTTGTCGTTCATTCTTTGATATTCAGGAAATTTTATCGGACAAAAGTCAATTACCATCACTCAGTGGAACCTAACTGACTTTACTCAGCGGTGAGGTCGAGCTTGACGTAATTTCCCTTGAAAAATTTTTAGTCATTTACCGGAAAAAACACCTTGAACTCCATGATATCCAAACCGGTTTAGTTTCGTCTTTGTAGTTTGAGATAACAAGGCTCTACTTGCTGTTTTTAATAGACGGACGCGAAAAATTATTCAATAATCATGTTTACTTATTGCAGTTGCCTTTTTGTAAAATTTCTCAAATGTCATTGAATATTTATTTTTTGCAGCTGCTTTCTTGAGAAATTTCCCTTATCTACGTATAAAAGAAAAACTGTGCTTATGAAAGATCACTCTTTAAAGTGAATGCACTAGCTTTGAAATTGGGTATACTTATATTTTTGAAGAGCAGAAGAGGAACCTTTAAGTTAGCTTCAAGTTCAACAAAAGAAAGAGGTACAGATTTCTTAATATTAATTAAGCTCACACTGAATGACAAGAAACGTGTTCTTTTCACCATTTCATATTTGGGCTGTAAAAAGACTTGTGTTAAAGAAAGAAAGCCCCTCCCTTTTTCCTTTGAGTGATCCCGAAAACTTTCGGGGGATGGCGGTAAATCGGTTCATTAAAAGGTTGTTCATTAATTCAGCTCCAGGTTGTTAAGACCGCAAAGAAAAATCAACGATTATTTGAAAAATTCTGAACAATTTAGTAGTCGTTAAAGTATCACTGGCCGGTCGCATTTTCAGTGAAGAAATATCTTGCACATAATTCTTAAGTAAAGAGAATGAAATATCGCCAGTGCACTAAAAGAGTGTAGTTTATTTAAATTCAAACTACAGTCATGCTAAACGGTAGACGAACTATTCATAACTAATATTCCACTCTCATTTCAATAAACCATATCGTACCTTTAAACATTCATTAGCAGCACTGTACCTATATGTAAGGAAACGTAAACCCTTTTCCTGTTAGTAAATTTACCACAAGGATTAGGATTGAGTGAAGTAGACAGCACATACCCACCCAAAAAGCAGCATGAAAACGTCGGTGTGGCTTCTTGAGGGAATTCCTGATTTTCTCTCGAAGAAACTGAAAATTACTTCATTTTGTTTTCATTCAGGATAACTTTAGTGCGAGGTATATAGAAAACGCTTTGTCACACGAAGTGCATTCGAATACAACTTTTGTTTTTCATGGGTGGATGTACTGATATGTTCCTCTTGTGAAAATAAAATCTCTTCTCCTTTGATAATTTCTGACTATGTTATTTTCAAGATGGATGCTATGAGACGGACCCAGGCTATCCAAACACTGCCAATTAGAAGACACTTGCTATAAGGAACTGACTTTTCGAGCAGAACAAATAAATAAAACAAAACAGTTGTAAAGCCTGTGCTTCAGTGCCAAAACAGCGACAGTTGTTTAGAGTGTTAGCACTGATTAGTGTTCTTGTTCATGAGGACTGAAGTAACACTTACTGAATAACTACAACAAAACCTTAGAACTGGATAGGATTTTCTGAAGTTAGCTTGTTGCCAATAGAGCTTGATTGCTCGAAACATTTTTTAACAACGCGTGCAACGAATTTTCGATTAAGTCTCCTACATCCGAGTCCAAGAAAAGTATCAGTTGGGACAAAGGAAAATATACCGAGAACCGATAAGCATAAGCGCGCGAAAATAGAATGAAAACGTCGCCATTTGTTTAATTTTGTATCTGATTGCTCTTAATTGAGAGGGTGGCGTGATTTTTCTCGTCAAATCATGGAGGGAATAAAAGAAATCAATACAATACGACTCCCTCTATCAGCACGTTTGGTCACACGTAGGAAAGGTAGTAACATTGGATGTACGTTACCAACTTTTGTCTTTCTACAGATTTCAACTCGGCCATCATGACAGCATCAAGAAAAATTGGAGTGCTTATTCTGATTTTTAGTATGTCCCTCTTGCTCACCTCTGTACGAGCAAATAACTGTGAAACCGAGTTGCTACACAGATGCATTTCTCGCTATAGAGAACTTGTAAAGGAAAAACCAAATAATGAACAGCATTGTACACGTGTACAGGTAAGACTGACGATATTAAGGAAAATTTCTGATCAAGTCTTCATGAATGTTATGCTTAAGGCAAGGCAGTCTTTTTTCCTTTTATTTCCCATCAATTCCACGACGGTTCATGTCCCGATCTGGAGAAAGTACGATATATAGGGTAACCTCTCCTTTGGAGACATTTCTCGGATAGATATCTCATTTGAGACAGAGTAGTTTTTTTTTATCGAAACTAGAACAATCCGGAACAATATTTGCATGATAATTTGATTTTAAGACAGGCCCTGTTGTCCCAATCCGATATTTCCTTGGGTATAAAATGCTTGTTCTTAGGGGTTTTCGTCATTATTATAAATATTTTTGGTATAATCTTCCAAAACTCCTACGAGCCTCTATAAAAGGAAGGCTTACTTCGTTCCTCGGCTGACGATGCCCCCCCCTCCCCCACTCTGGAAGGAATATTCACTTTAAAATGTAAATTGCACCATCTCAATTAAGTAAAGGTCATAAGATGATTTTGGGTACAATTTAATGTTAATAAGCACGAGAAAATTTTTGCTAAACAGCAAAAGGCACGAGCCCGTCGGAAAAGTGCAATTTACAAGCGCTTATTACACCAAACTGCCCGAGAAATCATGTTACTACTTGTTATTATTGTGCATGAAAGAACATCATAGAAAGTCAAGACAGACGAAATTTTAAAAGTGTGCGCACGCTATTTGTAATTTGAAGACGTGTTACAATTTTGCTTTCGTGTTACAATTTTTCACTCGTATTACATGAGAATGCATTCGTTTTTCATTCGATTAGAAGCGTGTAATTTTTAATGTATATTATTACAGTAGAAAATGAATTCTTGCGTCATAGGATCTAAAAGAGTTATTTTCTGATTAAACCGAAGGGAGTGGTCGATTGCTTTGCTGAAAATCCTTCTTGCCAAGGACAATCAATAAACCGATTTCGTTTGTGGATTTTGCAAGAGGCAATGCTAGAAGTAAAACTGAAGGTTTGTCCAAGGGTTAACCATGAAGGCCTTAAGGATACCAGTGAGAAGACAGGTGAAATAGAATAGATGTTGTCTTCGGCTAATCTCGATTTGGATGATGTCGCTTCGAGTTGTTCCATTTTGCTAGATGTGCACTTTAGTTTAAAAAGGGTAACATTTTTATAATATCTAGACACAGTGCCTTTGCATTCATGCTTCAAACCATCATTATATTATTTTATCTGAATCCAGCCATCCGAGTCCAAATTGCAATTTAAGATCAATGACAAAACATGGCCTTTAAGCAAAACTCTATTTCTGCCACAGGTGCTGCCGCGGGATACATGTTGGTGGAAAACTTAGGTAAGAGAACTTCTCTTTGGTCAGTTTTTTCTTAACGTAATTCCTCGCCCAAAGGAAAAGAAGGAGTACCTAAAGTTCCAAATTTCACTGCTAGCTCAAGTTTGTTTCTGGTTTTGTTTTGTTTTTTTTTTTCTTAATTTGGCAAGGAATGTTTATAATTATGATGTGTCCGACATTTCAGAAATTCATGTTGCTATTCTTAGCATGGGATATAAGGCCTCTGGACGAATTGAATCAGAAAATTCTGTAAAATGTTAATTAATAGTCATCTGTGCTCTTGTTCCAAACTAAATGGAATAAATGAAACCGATGTAAACTTCTATGAATCACTTTTAAAGCAGGGTGCTAATTGTTCATGCTGCGTTGCTGTTCTCGGTTTTTCAGATCAAGACGATTTTTTCAACTCTTGTGCTGTTCAAGTTCACAGGACATGTAGCAAAAAATTTCTAGATTTGATGAAGGAAAACCAACGTATTTGTAGAGATTCAGTCGAGTGGTTTGCATGCTACAAGACTAAGGCCAGTGAAATAAACTGTAACTCCCCCATTATAAAACAATATTCAAACTTCGTCGAGAAGGTTGGAATTCAACTCGTCAGTGATGCACTGTTTGCCAACTCATGTAACGCCGAGCTGTAGAAAAACTTTGACTGATCAAAGAAAAGTTACTAGTGTTGTATTAAAAATAAAACTGAAGACTTTTTGAAGAGGGCATCTCAGTTATTTGTATTTCTCCCATAGCTGTTAAAATTTCCAGTGCGGTGGGGGTAAATATTTACCACTTTCACCGACACCAAGGTGATGTTCTTGTTTGAGTATATAAATTCGTTGACACCAAAAAGCGTCTAAAATGAACCATGAGGCCATACGGCTTTATGAGTCAGATGTACATGATAAAAACCGTTTTTTGCACTCGGGAAATGATAGTAGCTTTTCAAGGTTTCAATTCCTGAAAAAAAATAATCATCATGAAAAAAAAATTATTTCCCATGAAACACGAGGAAAGGGGAACATTTCCCATAATTCGTTCATAGATCAAGCTTTTTAGGTGACACCGTTTCTGAAGTAGGGTACATAATAGACAAGTTAAAAAGCCAATGAATCCAAAATTTGCTTCATTTTTGTCAAATGTCGGATGTGTTTAGAATTTCACGCGAACGCAATGCAAGAGAGAGTTAAAGAAAGAGTTATGGGTAACAATGAGTCATGTAAAGAAAGATGTTTTTCGTCTTGTCGCGAGCGTGGGACAAAGAAAAAAAAAACTGACTCCCACGCTTGTGACAAGACGAAAAACATCTTTCTTTATTTCTTTACCGAGTTCACAACTTACCATCTTTCTTATTTCCATCTACAGTGGGTCATGTAGTTGCTCAGTGTTTATAATAATGAGAGTAAAGCTCAGGAGAGAGCTGAAAAGAACCAACACTTTTTAGCTAGATTTCTGTCCACCATCTCACAGTTTTCATTTACATAAGATCATCCTGTCTTATTTTTAGCCAATAGCTTATTACCACGCATAAAATAATCTGGGTTTTACAGCCATAACACTTGACAATAGTTGAGATGTCTCGTAGACACCAGATGTAAATTAATGATCATATGCAAAGAACTTATTAGCAACGGAAACAAGCTGAAAAGCGACTTTGTGCGATTTTAATGAAAAAAATACGTATCAAGAACTCAAAAACATATATAGTATGGAGAGGTTGTTTTATTTTTTTCAACTCGGACAACAGCAGTATACTTCTGCTTTTTCTGATAACTTAAACGGTTTTTGCATATAAATCACTGATACTTCTAAAAAAGCAGCAATGACATCATAGTAATGATGGCAGTATCCATGATAATAATGAAAATAATAATGATAATGGAGATAATTATAATAATGGAAATACTAATGATGAAAATAGTACATGTTTAAACGAAAGCATCCTAATCACTATCACTATCTTTGTCATGGCGCTTTAAAAGAACTGACAAGACGTCGAAGTTTTTTTCTCCGGCCATACATGAGCTAATTGTGATTTCCATGTAATCCGATGTCCGTAAACACCGTCTGATTTAACAGACAGAACAAAAAGGAAGATATGATAGACTTTATATTTTCGATTTTGTCTTTTCATGAAAAAATCTGTTAGTTCCCAGAAAACTGTTATTATATTATTCTTACTTCCACGATTTTTCGGGTATTAATTACGATCATTGCCGTCTTCATCATTCTTCGAGTCGGTTATGTTAGACGTTGCTCTCGGTAGGATCGCTCCCTTTGCACAACACACCATTGACTACTAGAGTTTGCTTTGTCTTCATTGGAACAATTGGCGTAGAGTATGTTTCTCCAATGCTTGGCATTGATGACCTCTGAGATCTTCTCGCGTTCAGATAGGCTCGTTTTCCACTAAGAATTTTCTCCAGGGCTCTACGAAAATCCGGTTTCATGAACGAGTACAAAACAGGATTTACAAGAGATCCAAAAACCACACAGAAAGGCGAGAAGTCCAGTAAAAGCGTAGGAACCACTTCTTTATGGCCCACGGCGTTCGCTGCCGACCAAAATAAACTTGGAAAATAACTCAACACAAACATAAATGATGCTACAGCGAAGACCCTCGCCACTTTAGCTTCAGAGGAAATCTTCCTTGGCGTACATTTTTTTTTCGTATCCGCTTTCGAAGCATGCGAGGAGATGCTCAGTTCTCGCTCACGACGCACACATTGCCTCACTAATCGAAAGATCTTGTAATTTGCACAGACTATTAGCACGTAAGGTAGAGCTATACAAATGATGAGAAAGAAGACGATGTAAATTCTTGTGTGGAGAATTGTCGTATTTCCTTCCCATGTAAGCGGTATACATGCGACCACCACCGAGAAGATCCAAATTACTGGCACGACGATTTTGAAAACTTTCGCTATCATTTCAGCGTATGAAAATGGGTGCAAAATTGCCAAGTATCTGTCATAAGTCACTGCGCAGAGATTTGATGCCCCCACGAAAAGCACAATAGCGTACAAGACGTTAAGTGTTGCTCGAGACCATTCGTGGAGCTTGGCGTTATATTGGATGAGGATAGCAACACCTGTCACAATATCAGAAATGGCGAGCGATACTACAAATCCATTGGTGTAGTTGCGCATTGATTTGACCTTGTACACCAACAGGCAGACAAGTGTGTTGGTTACTATAACGCTCACTGATAAAATACTGAGAGGAATAACCAGTTTGAGTGAGTATGCTTGGGACATCTTGAGTTATGAAAAGCTCCGTGGAGAGTCGTGCTTTTGGCGTTGGTGGCGGTTGATGTGATGTGTTCAACCGTCAGTCAGCGCTGATTATCCGGCAAGCTGTTTAATAAAATTTCTTCCTCCTATCTTGAAGATTGCTCACTCTTGCAGTCCGAGTAAAATCTATTTAATTTTAAATGATGAAGACTGCATTTGTTTCAACCAGTTTCAAATGATCGACTGCAGACGGTGACACCTTCAAATTATGCTTTCTTTTAAATAGCAAGGGTCTTTTTGTTTTCGTTACCTCTCTGAAGCCCTGCAAATAGAGAAGAACACTTGTGAATGGACTGTAAATAGAGGAGGCTTAGTAATGGAGTGTTCTTGAGAACTCGCGACTCGAAACTCAAAAATTGTTGCATATGTTTCGTTTTCGAGATCATGGCTGTGGCAATTTACCCAAAATCTGATATTTTTATTGTGGATTTAGCAATTAGTTGAATATATCAAGTTCTTTTCAGAACTGATATTTTGGTTTGCCGTATATTGGCTGTTCACAGCGGCTACATATTTTAGACCTGATAGATTAATTTATTACCTACACGAACTTAAAACTTACCGACTGTACACAAACATGAAGAGTATACGTACGTGTCCTTACATTGTGAACAGGTCACTGCACTAACAATGAAACAATCCTAATAGTTCGATTGTTCTGCTTAGGAACGATGTTCACTCGAAAATCACTGTATAAATGAATTATGTTTTTTTGTTTTTTGTTTTGTTTTTTTTCAATTACTAGTCTCCTAGAGCGACTAGCGCCATCCATCATCCGCAACAAAGAGGATTTGTTGGTGAAGAAAAACACGCTTTTTACGTTGTTTGTCAAGTAACCAATATCCCCTAAAGAATAAACTCACTTCCGAGAAAATTGTCTCTGACGCTCATCGTACTATGATCTCCTTGCCAAGCAAATAGGTTTGTCCATCTGCACCAAATGTCCTCTATTAGTCTCGCATGTTTTATTTTCTTGCGTATCAGTTTTTTGTTCTATTTTAATTTTTTTTTTTTCAAGTCAAGTTATGTCCAGGCAAGAGAAGCAAATCGCCGTACAATAACAGGAATAGATGTATGTTATGATGTTATTGTCTTGAAGGTAATGCGGATGTGGTTTTCACACTTTCGACTGTGCGCCAATCCAAATTGATCATTTTTAGAACGCAGCTGTCAAAGCAAAAAATCACGACAGATATATTGAAAAGAAAACGGAAGAACTCTATAAAATAGCATTACCAGGATCGTTTTGAACTTGCTCCATCACCTTTCTAATAATTCAAAATTAAGGAAACGGAGAGGAGGTAAACGCTCTTGGTACACCGCGACAAGATCTACACTAATCAATTTGGTGTTTTTATGTTCGGCGTCCGCATGATAACATGATTTTGCAAATTTAATCAGGTTAATCTCTTGGTTTGTTTGTTAGCATTGAATTTGCATTGACTAAGTGTCGGTTCTTCTAGACCAGTTTCCTTTATTTAGCCTCGAATTAAGGGCGCCCAGTTCATGTTATTAGATAAAAAAAAAACCTTCATTTGAATGGAGTACTTCCTAACATGTACAATAGGCGGAAAATATACAATTATATTTAAAATCATGTATGAACAAAATTATCCGTCAAAATTCGCAATGCAACCCTTTGCTAAACAACCGCATGAAAACCAACTTTTCGGAGTAATCTCGAAGAGATACTATCAAGATGAGTTATCAAAAGATTTCCACGTGATTTCAAGCGAGAAGTAGGTCTCTGAATTGATATGCTAGGGATTTTTTTTTTTTTAACAGAAGTTTCTTTGTTTTATTCCCACAGAACTGCGGCTTGCACATTATGCGTTTACTTCATTTTCAAAGTTATAACTTAGCATGTAAAATTGGTTTGGCAAATTTAAAGTGGCACACGCCCTTCTTTAAGTAGAATGACAAGTTGCTATGGACTCATGTTTCAACGTCACGTACAATGCAATTAACCCCATAAATCTACCTTCGCTTGAGAACAAAATTAACTTCTACTGAAAACATGACCGCTATTCAAGTAAAAGCATAACTAAGCATCTCCTCTTTGAAGATAAGATTGAAGATATGCGTTAAGATTTGCCAAATTTATAATTTATGTTGATTTCGATGTGCAAGTTACAGATGGATTATCTCCAGTGCGCACAGAGTTGCGACCAACAAAACTTTTTGAGGGGACTGGACTTACACTCTAAAAAGAGAAATTACTAAAAAGTATTCTTGTTTTTTGAAAGTGGGGTATCTAGGTACTTACAATAAATAACATGCCATCCGAACAGCTAAGTTCAGCGAGTAACTTTCTGTTGCCTGTGCACGACTTCACAGTCTTTCAAAATGTGTTAGCAAATCCGAGTGTTTTAAGTTTGCGATCACGTACTGCATGAAATGAACTAAATTAATCTTTTGTGAGTGAGTGTTACTTTAAAGATGTACTTCACCTTGAACGTTGTGTACTATAATTAAAGATTTACAGAATATTTTTCTACCAATAACGGAGAGCAATAGAAACCACACGGAGTGAAAAAAGGAAGTAAAATTTCCCAAAAATCAATCATCGTCCTAACTGCCAAAAACCCAAAGTTTATCGCTTTGATTATGCCGTCAAACTAAGAATAAAAAACCTGACGTTTTCAAAAAATTTAGTAGTCGGTCAAATCTAATGTCCTTCCACAAAGTAAATTTTTTGTCCATTGACATGACAAAGACAGGGATTGAAATGAAAGAATCATTCTTCCAAGGTTGTTTGGGAATGACGATAGGTATATTGTTGTAGCTTTGTACATATCAGGCTCAACGGTCACGCCATGTACAAGTAAATTTGACGAAACAGATTCAGGGCAGAAAATTTTGGAATTAATCAGAAAAACCCATGAAATAACTGAACAAGTAACGTACCGAGGAGTTGAGATCTTTCTGTCGATTCCTCTTCAGTCATTTGCATTCGTCTCTAATTACATGATTGCGAAACACGAAAGACTCATTAATTTTGAATGACTTTATTTTGAAGCTGGTTCTTCAATATTAAAACCCGAGCTGTTTGAGAAAATATATGCTAAGACAATTGATAGATTACAAATGCCCGTTACTTAGCCTCAGGATGTTTTTTTCGTTTAGTTGCGAAATGTAATCAGGTGCTGATTCATATATAGGTTACCAAAACTCATCATGGCCAGATTGGAAACGATTGTTTCCCTCTCATTCAGTTAATAGTCATATTACCTTCAATTAATTTACTCTAATTCAATGATCACCAACATAACAAAACCAGTATCGAAATAAATCAGTGAATCAGCAACAAAATCAGAGAAAAATGTAAAAGAAACATTGCGTTATACACGCTCAATGCTTAAATGAAACCACACGAATTACGAAACTGTAGAAAATCTGATCACCATTGATAATAAACTTTTCGACCGAAAATCTCTGAGAGTAACAAACAATGTTCTAAATAATATCCTTGGTGGCCTGTAAACAATGTTTTCAGGAGTACAACTGATTTTCCCACTCATGTAGAGTTAAATTGTTTCCTCCAAGTTGGAGATAAGATTACATGTTAGATGCTTACAATTTTGCTTGTTGTATTCGCAGTAATACTGTGAGGTGTTAATGCATCAAAATATAAACAAGTTGGACCGCCTGCACACGTAGCGGAAGGTAACAGCCTTAAAAGAAAGCTTACAATAAATACATTTGTCATTTTGCTCCATAAACTAACGAATTCAAACTAATTGAGTAAATGGTCGGATTCAAAACGATTTTTTTTCCCTTCTTTAATTTAAATCGATATTTTTAATTTAGAATCGATGTGACCTTCATAAATGTTTAATGCGAGCGAAATCTCTCAGTCTTATTATCTTCCGAACTAACTAGAACACTCCTGACACAAAATTATTTTGTTTATTTCACTGAGAACCATCAGTAAAAACAAGTGCATTTTATATAATATGTTACCTTAATATTCTGCTTTAAACCTGCCACATAGCTAATAAACAATAAACTGGTTGTCTTTGTTAGCATTTTTAGCATTGAATGATTTAAGACAACGTCACCTCATCAGATAAAAGCAATTACTTCAATCCGGACCAATGGTGCGCTAGATCTGATTCCGGTTTCCTAAGGAAAATAAGCTGATGTATCTTATAACCTTTTACAAGGCTATGCAGTATTTCTGAAAGGCCTGAATGACATGATATTTGCTGATTTGAAAAAAGCCTTTTTGACGTAGACTTTTATGTGAAATCACAGGAAATGAAGAAAATAATGCTATATAGAGTTGACTAACTGTGATCGATACTATTAAGTTTGGGTTTTGCCTTATAAATATCAAGAATTCCCCTCCGACGTTGGTAAGCCTTGCAAAAAAAAGCATCATCTCTATAATAACCAAATATATGAATCAACATATTTAAATTTAATAGTGACAAGTGACTTGGGAAACTACATGTAGCAGAGAAACATTTATTTCCTTTCTTTATTTCAAGCTTTTCAAGAATATTACACAAATTTTTTTTTTTTTTTTTGCGTTCGTTGTTGAATGTGAATGGGACAGGCATTTTGGCCTTAATGCAAGAAATTTTGATATCAAGTCTAGCCGTGCATAAATTTTTTTTAGTTTTTACTGCATTCTGAACAACTATTTTACTGAAGGAAAGTCGATTTTGTTTTTTTGATAACATCGCAGGTTGAACCAAACAAATCCCTAAGTTTCCTTGGTATCTATGGATATTTAACTGGCTGAGCTAACCTTGGTCTCTGCAAGTGAATGTCAGTCCTGAATCCGTAATTACCCGAGAAAATTATTACATAAGGGAAATCCTTTGTTACATCTCAATTTTAGCATCGATTTACCTTTCTACGTTGGCTGTTTTCGTTAACCAAGAATGATTAATTTCATTCACCTCACGTATGCAGTACCAAACAAAGGCCAACAGCTAGGATAAAAGCAGTGTGGTCAGCTACTTAACACCGGCCTATTAATTTTAACTCGGTGGACAATACCGGAAAACTCAAAATTTGGCAAACCATCACAAAGGGACAGAAATGTCCTATTTTTAATTTTGCCGGCTTGCTTGTTTTTATATGCCAGTATATTGCCACCTCTTCGTTTACCATAACATTGAATGTGGAATTACCATCGTTCAAGATTAGAAATATTTTTGAAAATACTATCGAGTTCAAGTTGTGCACAGGATGAGTGATTACATTCAAAGATTATGATAAATTGTTGGAATTTACGTCGCATTTAAGTAGACCTCCTTCTATTTTTCCTCTAGAAAGGTTCACATCAGGTTTCTTTTTGTTTAAAATTAATTTTACAAAGGAATCTTTTACGACATACAAATATCAGTTGGCCTTAATGGCTTTGTTCCACTGCCGTCATTTATTCTCTTGCAGTGTCCACACAGAATATCTGTCAGTGAATCTTTAATTAAGATCCTTATAAAAACAGTTTTTAATTAAAACTTTCCTTGAACCAACGAATAACCGTGATTCACAAGATCGTCTCGCAAAATAATTGAAAAAAAAGTAGGCCCTGTAATCACTTAATTAAGAGCAGATGAATTTCTGTGCAAGTAACATATTTTTTTCTTGGTCAGTAGCGCGAAAAAATCGACATTACTGATTGAGCTACGTTTGAAATTCTGGCAACAATAGAATAGACTCAAACTGATACATAGGATCGACAAGATCATTCCGTGGAGAGGTAAGAAAAAAAATCATTAAACGACTGAAGGAAAGTCAGTATCTTTGCAATATCCGTGAGGAGCTTTACCGACCATCACGGGCAGGTTCGATATTTTTAGATTCGAAAAGGGGAAGTCTGGGTCGGGTTCATAAAATCGAAGTTCAGTAAGAAATTTCCTCTCGTTTCTTACTCGTTTTGTAATCTCTTGGTTTTAGTTAATTCCAAAGTCGACTTAAGTGGTTTAACGCTTTGTAAAAACAGTAGTTTATCAAAAAGGATAACCTTTCCTTGTCTTTACGTTTGACTTTCCACGCAATGATCCACGACAACATGTGGGCGAATGTTCCTAACATGCGTCCAACAATAGTGAAAGTGGGCTCTTAGAAAATTCAGTTACTCTCAGCACTGTGAGATGCAACACTTAAATTCGTCTAAGATTTTGCAGCTGGCGAAGGTTTGAATTATCTGGAATTCCATGAAAAGCCGTAAATTTACGATTGTCTGTTCATACACAGCGTTAACAATCTATCCCATCCCTCGATCACACCAGGTCACAAAAGATTAAACAGCAGGAATAAAATCATCACATCGACATTGGCAGTTTTATATTGTGGGATTTGTCACTATTCTTTGGAAATGAGAATCTACGAGAAAAAGAAATGAGACTGAAATATTTTGTCTAACCCTTGTGCGTATTCTGTACCAAGCATCATTCCTTTTCTTTTCCGGCACAAATCATATGTTGAACTTCATGACAACTTGGACTGCTATGGCAATGATTTTGGGATGTTAACTATGTTTTGCCGCCTGATGTGAGTGTTGCGCTGGGGGATTATTCACGCTGGGAAAGTTTCATTGCCCCTTTTTCAGCAGAAAGAAAAACAATGTCACCAACCACGCTGCTTTTCATGCGCCCAGCGGGCAGGCCGGGTTACCTCGTGTGTATCCACATGTTTCATTAGACAAGCTAACGCCTCATGTTAGACTTCTTAAAAACATCAACCTCGGGTAGTAATAACACAACTAACACGTGGCTATGACACGCGCGCAGTGAAAAGTGTCTTCAATCACGAATTACTTCTCGGAGTTGGCTTTAAATTGATATCTTGTCTAATTTAGATTTGGCAGTGCTGCGTTTGACACTGTGAGAAACGATAGTGTAGCATTTTTTCTTACAAACTGTTCAATGGCGTGACGAATTGGAGAGACAAAATCCTTTCTGATTACCCTTAAGACTGTTTCATGAGTATAAACAATCAGTTCTGACAACCCCAGAACGCGATTTAAATACCCGGCGGACTAACTTCAAGCTTTACTTCAACGCAATAAAACTAAACAACTGTCTGTAAAATGTAAGGGGAACTTGGAGTGTAAATTGCCTTATTTGTCTATTTACACTAGCATTATGCAGAATTCCAAAACATTAGAGCGTTTCGAACCATTAAACCGCAACGAAGAAATCGTTATCAAATCTATGAAAAAAAATTTGTGAAAGGTAATCCTGAGTTGACTGAAGAGAGCATTTAGTTGGGGAAAAAGTCAATCAGTAAAGAAACCTTGGAAATGTATTATTCGGGTTTGGTGTCGATTTACACAAAAGCCTAGATCGAGGCAATGCCTTAACCTCATGGTGATTTGGTTACAACATAGACGAAAATAAACCCACAATATCTCGCCCTAAGTGAGCTAAAA